CTCAAAGCCACATGAGCTAAAGTAGGAGAAAAGGGAGAAGGTTGAGGATTGAAAGCAAAAATAGAAGCAGCTTAGTGAGGAGGAAGAGTTGGAAAACGAACTCATATGAGGTAATTTTATTTTCATAGTACTCGCCGGAGTTGCATACTCCGACGAGGTCTTGTTCCCTTCATTTTCACTTTGTTTTCTTACACTTTGTTGTCATTTTCGTCTTCCGCATCACTTTAATTACTGCATGTTATTGTAGTTTTGAACGATAATTAAGAAATTTAAGGTTAGGTTTAGATTAGGGAAAAAAGGGATTCATGTGTTAGGTTGAGTTTATGCTTAAATTGATGGCCAATTCAGATTCAGGACATTGTTTTGAAGGGATGTTATGTTTTATGTTTTCATGTTTGAGGCCTTTTTTTTCTTGAAAAAGAATGATGAACACCTTCATGGTGTTCATCGTTTTTTCTACATAAAAATTTGTTTTGATTCAAGTGATATAAAAGGTGTAGATAGTTTTTTATTTAAGGAGAGAGAGGCAGAAAAGTAGATAGATAAAAAGAATGGGGTTTGAGCGCATCATGCTCCCCTTTCCTTCTTTTCATCATCCTCTTAACTACAAACAAGATGACACATTGCCCTTCCCTGCCCCACTAGTTGGAAATACTTTAACCTCTGTCTGGGATTGTGTTGGTGATGACAGGAGATTTCACCTTTTATTTGACTTGATTAGTGCATGTTTTAGAGTTGTTTTGATTTGCATTTGTGTTGTTATGTTGGTATTTTTTATATTTTCAGGTATTTAGTTACTCAGGAGCCTGATGCGAAGGAACAGAGCAAAAACGAATGAAATGCGAAAGGAATGAGATCGGTTCATGCTGGTGTTAGCTCAGAAATTTGATGTCCATATTAAATTAGAAATATTGGTTGGGATGTTAAATTCTTGATATAGTGTAAAGGAGTCTTCGACTGGATTTTTATGCTGGTTTAAATCGAAGGCACTTACATAAGAAAGACAAACTTTTTAGGACTTAGAAAATATTTCTATGAGTTAAGAAGTTCCTTTCGACCGAGAATGTTGTTCAATACTTAGGGAATTTGAAATTCAAATAAAGGAGAGAGTAGTTATTCTTGTCCACTCCTGAATAAGACAAGTGGCGCACATCTAAGAGACAGATGCATGCAGCGCAACACTTGTTAGATGTTGATTATCTTAGGAAGTTAACAGCAGTTCATGTTATTATGAATAGGGGTTCTAGCAATAGGATTCGATGTGTTGTGTTCACGTTGTACAAGTCACTCCAAATTTACTCAAAGTATCCGTGTGTAGAGAAAAGAGTCTTGGAGAATGTACGTGATGTAAAACACCATTTTCTTCTTAAATGAAATTTACTTTCACTTTATATTAAAAGAGTTTATCTTTTACTTTCCTACAATTTACATCTTCAATCTTATATCTTGTTTCTTTTAAGCCTTTTCATTAAAGTCTTTAACCTTTCTTTCAATTTAAAGCTCTTACGTTTCTGTCGAACCATGCACTCAAATAAACTTTTCTTCATAAACACTGTCGAAATGATTAGTCTTTAGAATTTTCTTTGAATTAAATATTTAGCACATGTCCTAGGATCAATCTGATCGATCATGTGAGTCACCAAAGTTAGATTTGGAAGATCAGCGGTTGTTTTCCAATTTTCACGGGAAACAGCTGGTGGCGACCAATATGGCATTCACAATGAGGTGGCCATGAGTGGTCCATACACTAATAGTCAAAAGACCAAGTCAATCTTAGTCTACAAGCATGGCACTCTCCATGAGGGGTGTGGCAGTCGCCACACGTTATGGAGGTCAGACGATCACAAATGGGTTTCTGTTAGTGCATTTCTTAAAAATAGGCTTACTACTTTAACGCGTTAGGCGCCTACCATGAGTGATGATGGAAAGTATAAATTAGAGAGTAAGTTCGGTTTTGTACGCGTGAATGCAACGATTCCCGTTAAGTTGATCCTTTTCAAAATAGAGAATATTTCCCCATTGGAAATACCTTTTTAGAAACACTTAGAGTACAATCAATTAATAGATCCCCACACCTCCACACCGTTTGTCCAATTTTATTTAGTTTTTATCTTAGCGCAAATTTCACTAATATCGCATTCATCATCCTTATTGTTCGCCTTAAATAAACACCGTAGGAATCAGTAACGATAGATTTTTTACTATCGCTCTCTGTGGGATCGACATCTTTTAAAACTACACGATAGGTTGTGCACTTGCAATTAGATTCACACCCAATCAAAGTTTTGTCCCATTGCCAGGGACCAATTACATTAAAACATTGTAAACTAGTTGTCACTTTGTTTAGATTAAGGAATTTTAGATGGATCACCCAAGCTCTCTTTTCAAACACCAATTTAAACATTTCAAGGGCTCACAATATTCCTATAAATCAAACCTTGAAATCTTGATGGAAAACTTTGTTAATTCACAAGCTCCCTCTAGGTTAGAATCTATGGTGCGAAGGTTTGTAGAAAATCAAACTGCCTATAATAGGGAATTTAGAAATGATGCTCTTCTTACTAATGAAACCCTTAAGCGACTAAACAACAACATCCAATCCTTAGTACTTAGTAATAAGGAATTAGAGACAAAACTAGCATCGCTTGCACAAATACCTATTAACACATCAACCTATGAGGCTGGCCCTGTAGGAAGACCTAAGGAAATCAATAAATTAATCAAGGAGAGTCATAATAAAAAAAGAATAGAAATTCTTTTCCACTTGATTTGTTAGAACCTAGGTCAAAAGGAAATTTTGCTACAACTAAAGGAGAAAAACGAAGGAATCATAAAACTAGAGAAGAAATTAATGCCAAACCAAAAACATCAACACCAAAGAATGAGTCGGATCTAATCCCGCCTTACTTAAGAGATGAGCCACTCTATAATGGAAAGAAAAGAAAAGGGGAAGGATATGAGAGATGGCTTGATAAATGGCCTTGGAGAAAATCCAATGATTAGACCTTCCCTCCGTAATTTTGTTTTAATAAGTCGAGCTATTGACATTAAACGAAGCGCTGCATAGGAGGCAACCCATGATTCTTTCTTTTTGATTATTTTCTTTAAAGGTGAATTATCTCTTCTAATAAGGATAACTTATTTGATTTCAAATGTTTCAAGGCAGCACTCTACATAGCTATTTCTAACCATATTTTTAGAATGCAAAACACTGATGACATGGAAATCAAGTTCAGAGATGATGACCAGAGAAGACGTTACACAATCCTATCTGAAAGACACATGCTACCCACCAGATATCCTGACACAATCTGCATGACAACCCTAGGAATTGAAAGAAGTATTAGCTATATCGTTAGCCAAATTGATTGGGAAGAATTTTCAGAGTTTAAGCATGAGACCTATAGAAAACTCACCCTTGAGTTCCTCAGTTCACTTATCTGCGATCCCTATCAAGGACGTGGACTCCATCGTGGCCACATACCCTTTAGGTTGTTTGGGCAAGAATATAATCTAACCCACCGAGGACTCGAAAGTCTTTTAGGATTCCAAACTGGTCCAAATGCCCATCCTGAAATCTCACTCTGTTTTTACCAAGATGATACTTTGGAAATTTTTTTCGCGATGTGACAGCGGGAGACTCTGCTGTGGACATTGCTCTTGCAAGAGAGAGTCAAGCCTAATTTAGTTCAATTTGCGATAATTGTTAATATTGTTTGTTTGCTTGCTTTCTTCCATATCTTTCTCTTTATCTTATTGTGTTATTTATGCTATCTGTCATTTGGTTCCTCTAATACTGTGATGGGTGCTTATTTGCTTGATACATTCGATGAGATAGGCTCCACAACCGAGCTTTGAGTAAACCCTTAGAATTGGAGAATGTGTAGTATTAAATCGAGGGGTATACACCTTATTGGAACGATACGAAGACTCCACTAGAGTAGATCTATTTGGAATTTTCATCACGGTATCGCTAGCCCACTATTATGTTGAAATTTCGATTAAGATGCATGACTCTAGGAACCTCTTGAACCTAAAACCTGTTATTATGGTTGAAGGTTGTGTAGTAGTGGATTAAGCGGTTTACACCTCATTAGAATGATACAAAGATTCCACCTAGAGTAGATCTATTTGGATTTTCATCACAGTGTGGCTAGCCCATTATTGTATTGAGAATTCAAACAGGGTCCATGACTCTAGGAACATTTTCTAGAGCCAAAACATGTTCTCAGGATGAGAGATTATATAGTATTGACCTGTGGGGTTTACACCTCATTAGAATGATACAAAGATTCCACCTAGAGTAGATCTATTTGGATTTTCATCACAGTGTGGCTAGCCCATTATTGTGTTGAGAATTCAAACAGGGTCCATGACTCTAGGAACATTTTCTAGAGCCAAAACATGTTCTCAGGATGAGAGATTATATAGTATTGACCTGTGGGGTTTACACCTCACTAAAGCAATACGAAGATCCCACTTAGAGTGGACAGATTCGAGATTTTTATCATGGTGTGGATATCCCATTATCGTGGTGAAATTTTGAATATGATTTGTGACTCTAAGTTATTTCCTTGAAAATGCAACCCTAAAGCTATTCTTTGTATGTTTGGGTGTAGAGAACTTCTCAGGATGGGAGATTATATAGTATTGACTTGCGGGGTTTACACCTCACTAAGGTAATACGAAGATCCCACTTAGAGTAGACTGATTCAAGATTTTTATCATGGTGTGGATATCCCATTATCATGGTGAAATTTTGAATATTGTCTGTGACTCTAAGTTATTTCCTTGAAAATGAAACCTTAGAGCTATCCGTTGTATGTTTGGGTGTAGAGAACTTCCATAAGACAAATACCACTTGACTTTTGTGAAACTTTAACCTCTACCATTGCATAAAATCATATTTCATATTTAATTTTCATAACAAAAATCATTTATACCCTTTCATTTTCAGGGAATCTCAAGAGATTTTCAGTTGTTAAGTGTTCAAAAGCAATATGGAGTCTAGAAAGAGGAAAAACTTCCAAATCAAAGCAAAAGTACCAAATGTGAAGATCTTCATAGAATTCAGAGATGGGTTGACTAATATCAGTCGAGAGGCATTCACCATTAATCATGAGAAGATGCTAGACTTATTATTTGTTCCTGGGCAAAAGGAAGCCATCACAACACTAGTCCAATTTTATGATCCACCTCTCAGATGTTTCCTTTTCCAAGGCTTTCAGTTAGCTCCAACCATAGAAGAATTTAGGAGGATATTGGACTCTCCTAAGGAAAAGAAGGGAATTTATAGAGGCATGAGGAAATATCCAAAGCCGAAAGACCTTGTTGAAGTGTTGAACACCTTGATTGCTGACTTAGCTCTTAACATAAAGACCTAGGGGGAATTACAAGGAAATCCTAAGGAGTATCTGGAAAAGAAGGCTCAAGGCTTTTCTATTGCCCAAAAGTGGGAAGCCTATGACACTGTTATGGATTTTCTCATCTTTGAAGTTTTGTTCCCCAATGTGTAAGAGTTTGTTGATATGGTAGCTATTAATGTATTTTGAGCCTTCAAAGTCAAAGATGAAGACCCTTTACTAGTGCTTATGGAAGATGTGTATCATACCTGTCACTTACGTTATGAGAAGAAATAAGGATTGATGTTGTGTTTTACTCTACTTCTATATAAGTGAATTGTCCCAGGGTTTTGTAGCATTCACGGAGAAGGCTGCTCTTTGGTACCCTCAGAGAGTTAACTTAGGCAATGTGACTTATAATTATGGTAATTTCTCGAATGTGGCGCTTATAGGATCAAACAGTTGCATTAATTACAACCCAACCTTGGCATTAAGACAATAGGGTTTCCCTATAATATACATGTTTTTTGACCAGTTGCTAGAAGGTTTTGTGGTACATGGTAAAGAAGACCCCTCTATGTTAAAGAGAATTATCTGAGCTTGGGAAGATGTTCATATAAGGGGAAGGGATGTGGGAAAGATCACCTAAGTGACCAGGGAGCCTTACTACCAATGGGTCATAAAAAGAAGTCAAGATATCAAACTTCCTTTCATTTTTTATCCTCCCACTCAGCCCCCACCACCTGAGCATACTCTTATTTCTCTTGAGGAAGTAGACGAGCTCAGACCCATTATCTTGAGACTATAGCTTCAAAATAATCTTCACAAGGTTTCTTATGAGAGAAATAAGCTTAGGTTTAACCTCAAGGAAAAGGAAAAGTTTCTTAAAAAGAAAGAAGCCTAATTTGAAGACGAGGAGCATAAGAGGAAGAGAGTTAAGCATTTTCTGAATGGGGCATGCCTTGAACTTGATCATAGAAACCAGGAGCTTTCAGATTCCTAGAAAATGAACTCAGAGTGGAAGATTCTTTGGGACAAAACCTTGGAAGAAAGGAAGGCGATGAGAGAAGGCTTCGAAGCCCGAATCAAAGATCTCACTCGACTACTCCAAGAAGCTCTGAATCACGTTGCTTATGAGGCTCACCCCCAAGAGGAGATTGAGACGACTTTTAGAAACCCTCAAGTTGGTCCTCAACAAGCCTTAGCAGAGGTGAATAGATTCAGGACCTCCAACCATCCCCTGAGAGATTCTAGAGAGGTTAAGAGGAATCAGTGGAGTTCAAAAGTTAAACAGATGGAAAACTTGGCACAACGAGACCTAGCACACACTATTTATGCATGTCTGGAAGCTGAAAAGTGGTTTGGGAAGTGCGTGTAAGTTGTTGAGCTTGCCAACAACTTGTTACATGCTCTGACTATGAGATTAAGGGACTCTTTTAAGGTAATGACGCTAGAGAACACTCCTCTATTCATCTTCGGTTTCATCATCTTCTGTATGCACATGGTGAGAGATCTCCAAGAGGAGTTAGCACAACTTAAGGAAATACGCGAGACTTCTAGTGGCTAGGAGATTTTTTTGTACTTCCATATATTGTACTTTGTCTATAGATGAATTAAAAAATGATATTATTGGTAGTGTTATCTTTGTTTCTTTCTCTTACGCTCTCGAATGCTTAGAAACTAACAAACTCATAGATTCACTACAATGCATCTCCCTCTTATCCAGAATTGACACTGACTTCTCGACATCAATATGAGACGCGCATTAACTTCAGAAGAACGATGGAACAAGTAGAATCCAACCAAGCTAATATTAGGGAGGAAATAGGCTAAATGCAAGGAAATATGTATCAACTGTTGGAAGCCATCATGGCCATGGCTGGAAAGGAAGATATTCCCCAGATAACAACTGACACCATGAACATCACCACCCAACTAGGATCTTCCTCACTCCATATCTCGAAAGTGACTAACGGCGAGTTCATACTGCCTCGGGGATATACTCCTCTAGAGGGGGTTACTACACTACCTTGTATCAGAATCCTCATGGTCAATCTAGTTTCCCCGGATCATTATGCTAAATCTACAAGGCACATATCCTTATACAACGAATAAGATCCATGAGATGCTTACTTCATGCTCCCCAAATGGTGTCTGATGTTGGGTACTGTTGCACCCCAAAATTTGACCAACTTATTTCACCTGATTTTATGTTTCATAGCTTTAGCATTTGCATATTAGGTCATATTAGGTCATGTACATAATTCATTCATCTGCATAGCATAGCATGGGCAAGCCATCCAACAAGGGACCGAGTGCCATTATTATCTCTATGAGCCTATCAAGAGGTTCTTATTCAAAATTTAAGCCTATGCAAGTCATCAGAAAGGAATTGAAGCTTGAGAAGTTAGTGGACCAATCAGTGGGTTTTTCTCCTATCTTGAGGGGGTTTGAAGACTATCAAAGAGATTGTGGGCTATGAATTGAGGGCATGGAATGTATATAGACATCATGGAAGACCTAGAGGGTCATTTTTAGAGTGAGACAAGTCATTGATGTGATTACAAGAACTACAGTTGAAGACAGTCAATTAGGGTTTCATCTGGGTCAACCCTAGGTCAACCCTAGGTCAAATACTTGATTGAAGGGACATCAAGGCCTGTTTGAAGAATGGGGGATCCATCATTTGATATGTGGATATGGATGTGGTGTTGTGCCAAGGAGAAATCAAAAGAAATCAAGAAGAAGAGAAGTTTCTAAATTAGGGTTTCAGTGTAAAATCCCCTGATTTAGGGCAAACTTCCAAGCAGAATAATTCAAGATACAAGTCTCTAATGGATCTTTGGCCAACATGAAAGTTGTTCCTCATAATATTAGCTTTCTAGAAAGGTATGGTATGCCTCAATCTGATTTGTGGAGCTCTACTTATGATCTTGACAAGCCAAGGGCATTTTGGGCATTTGGAGGTTATAAGTCATTTCAAGCATAAGGCCATATCTCCTACTTCCAAGCTTCAAATGGAAAAATCTTCAACATCAAACTTGCTTAGAATGATGTTTTAAGGCTAGTAGGGAGGTCATGAGATGTTGAAAAGGCTTGTATCAAAAAGTGATAAAAATGGCCTAAAAAGGGGAATAAGTCAAATAAAGTGGTGAAAAAAAAATCAAATTTTGGGTTAGAGGTCACAAACAAGCCATATGACATACCAATTTGATTGTAAAATGCATTTTAAAGACAATGGCATTGGCACATTTTTGAATTGAGCAATAATTTCATGACTTGCTTTGTAAAAGTGGTTACTTGAAATGTAAGTCACTAATCCAAACCACTTAACAAGGCATTTGGAAGGCTATTTTGGTTGGAAACTTCCAAGGGAAGATACATGAACAATCTAGAAATTTCCAAGGGAAGATACATGAATAATCTAGAAAGTTCCAAGGGAAATGGATTTTATTATTTTGGGTTTGGGCTTCATTTCTAGAATATTCCAATCATCTCTATAAATGTTTAGAAACTCATTTGAAGCAAGGTTGGTGATTGATTGGAGTTGGATTGGAAGAGAGCATATCAATTTTCAAGAGAGCAAATCAAGTGGTGATTCTTCATTCAGAGCGATTTCGGTTCGATTCGAAGATTGTAGCACTTTCCTTGCATATTGTTGAACGAATTTGAAGCTTTCGGAAGTGCGAAAAGAGCCGAAGATACTCCGTTTCGAAGCTCCGATCAAGGTATGTAAACCTTCACTTTCCCATGGATTTAGGATGAGATAATTAGAAATTCTCATGCGGTTAGGATCATGAACACCTATGGATGATTTTAGGATTGTTAATTTGGAGATTTTCTTCATTCCCTTTTTCTTTTTATTTTTCTGTTTTGAGGCCTGTTTGCTTTTATTACGTCAAAAATAGTAAAAATATTCAAGAAATTATGAAATTTTTTTCTACAGATCTTGATTATCTTAAGAAATTTTAGGCGCTGAGTTTGCATTTTTTAGATTTTTTTTGATTTAGTTATGATTTTTCTTTCGTGCTAATATCCATTGGTGTACATAACTGTTCATTTGTTTTGTTTAATTTTGTTATCTTTAATGCTTCATTATTTTGAGCTGATTTTTGGATATGTTTTAGATGATATGCATAGGGTTCCCCAGAAAATTTATTGGAATTTCTAGACAATTCTAAGTTTAGTTTTGAATCCGCTTTTTAGAGCCATCGCCATCTGAATGTTCCCCGGACACTTTATAGGTTTTCCTTTAGAAAGTGACCTTAACTTTAGAGTTTGGTTTTAATTTTTTTACCATAGGTTGCTAACATCTTCAGGATATTGTATAATATTTCTTAGATTTTGTGGATTGTTTTCCCATTTCTTTTGCATTTTACATTCTGAAAAGTATTTTGCATGATGTTTGCTTTGCATATTTGATACCGCTGTTTTGTAGAATTTTGTTCTCTCAATTGGTGATGATTCTTGCTTAGATATTTTGGTAGATTGTAGCTAACACTCGCATGTTCCCTTAGGAATTTTTGTAGATTTTCTAGATGTAATTTGGTTCTGTTTTAGGGTTGTTGATTAGGACCTTCCCAATTGATGGTTAACCTTGACCCCTTGCATGTTAGGAATTGTTTAGACCCCTTAGAAATTGATATAGGGTTTGATCTTCGATCTTGATAATATAGATATTAATATACTTTAGGGTTTCCTTTAGGATAATGTGATAAAACTTTAGAATAAAAATGGTAGTAAAAAAATGTTGAAATAGATATGGTGTAATAAAAAACTTAGAATAATTAGGGTTTTGAACATAACATAGGTGCAACAAAACAATTCCTTTTTGGGCTTTTTAGGTTGAATTAGAAGATGGGACTATAGGGGTATTATGGGTAAGTGTAGTAGATCCCTTAGAATAAGTATTAGAATTTCCCCTATTATATTAATATATTTAGTATATTTTTGTAATTGTTTGATTGTATGGTGTGCCCGTTTTGGGGTTATTGCTTGTTATTTGGGCTTGTTGGGCTTGCTTGGGGTTTGGGTTTGGCTTG